TCGGTTCCACCCTTGTGGACGATGGTTCACCAACAGCGCTTTGAGAACGGTTGGGGTTCTTCTTCCATGACTTCAGATGGTTCATGCGCCCGGCCATCTCTGTGGATCGAAGGTTTTTGTTCTTTCCGACCTTGTTCTTCAAATCCAAATTCGGATTACGCCTCCGATGTTCTTCTGCCTCTACGGGATCTCCAAAACCGAAGTATCCCAGCAGTGGATAATAGACTGTTACAGAGAATTTAAAGTTAGACCGACCTCACCCATGCAAGAGATAAGACAGAATGAGTGAGAAAATTACCTGGTTGAAATGAAGAATCAAGTATCTCAGGAGACAAACCAGCTAGCTCTAATCGGGAATCTTTCACAAGCCGTTGATATCGTCGCTTATTGTGAGAAACTTCGAACAATTTGTCCACCCGATCGTACAGTAAGCCTTCGAACTTGGGTTCTCTCTTTCCCGTTGGTTTTGCTACAAGGTCACAAAAGTCCACCTGTTAGCGGAAACAAAAAACAAGATATTAATAACTGAAATGAAGAAAATGGTGAACAACTTACAGTAACCAGATTTAATAGCCATTGGAATGCTTGTCCCATCGGCGAGAAGATCATTAGCGAAATCGGGGCACTGCCAATCCCCACCGACCCACAACCATTCCTCTTGGAAGCCGTGTAATGTGTCGGGGACCTCCATTATTAACTCGCCAACCTTGACTCTTGGTTGGGGTTTACCGACGATGGAAAAAGTGAGAAGTGGATCCGACACTTGTCTATCTGGGCTCTTCCAGAATGTAAACTGCTCCTCATATCCTTCGCCGACGGTAAATCCCAATTCTTTTCGGCGAAGAGCACCAGTAGTCCGATAATCCACTTCCATGAATTTGGAGTGATCTGACATATCGGAAATTCCCAGTCCCGGAAATATTCAGTAATTATGCGCGGCAAAGGAAATCGCAAGCCTGATCTCAGACTCTCAGCGAACACACCAACACAGTTGGGTGGAGGACATGTAATCCTCTCACCTGGGTATGGAGCAAACAAATGTACCGACGTGGGGACTCGGATTTCACTCTGCAACATAACAACGTCGGCATCCGTAAGGATACTCGGTTCACCATGGGATGTAAGTTCGGGGTCCGGCCATCTCCTAATGGGTCGCCTCCAGAATCTTGAGTCGTCGATGGCGTTTTTCTCTACGATTTTGTCCCCCTCACTATCGTTTAGCCGAATATTCAACCGTTCGACAAATACCGGGTCCCACCGGTTATACTCAGACAACAATTCCATCTCCCCGGAGTGGACCATATTGATCATCATCACATCCAGTTCATCGTCACCAGAAAAAGAAAGAGAAGTCGGAGTAAATAAACGAAATACAAAGAGAAATTCTTACCACAGGAAGTAGTTCGTAGATCTGGGATGCTTTAAGTACAATTGAGAGGCGATTAATTCACAAGGAAAGCAAAAAAGACGATTGCGAGAAGAAGATGAAAGTAAAGTAGATCTCAAGAGAAGATTTCCTATTTATACCAAGCCCTGAATTCAATAGCGACCGTTGGAAACCAAAAGAAATAGGGGCGCGTGGGCCACACGTTCTTAATTCGCGAGTCGACGCAACTCTTGAGAGTCGTGCCTATTATCAACGGTTACGTGGCCTAATAAAAAAGACCGTTACCCCTATCAGTAAACGTTGCAATTAATCCTAATAAATTACGCCGTTTCAACTCTCAGTATTATTTCTGCCAAGTGTGAAGATATCGGAAAAACATTCGTAAAACCGACATGTCTCCCTTGCCAAAGATTAAATGGGTATCAGGGAATTTTCAGCATCACTGCTCGTCTCTTTCAAGACAACCATTAATGCTGGGGGCCACCTTGTTGACATCATTTTCAGTAAACCGAATTAAGAGACGCTGATCATTTGATTATGTTCAGTAGAAGAATAATCGAAGTCGCATAAAGTAGGTGTTGCCTTTACGGATCTCGAGGCTCTGACACTAATTTCGAGACAATCACTTGTCGGGTAAAATTCGTTAAGAACCGACATCGTCGTCGATTGACCGATATCTCACGTCGGTTATGACATGTCGGTTACTACATGTCGGATACGGCATATCGGTTACAACTGCTCGAACCGATATCTATGACTCGCTAAACCGACGCCACAAGACGGTGCCAACTCAGCACAACTCATGCCAAGTGGCACGTTATCAAGATGAATGGCAATTAGCCGCCGTTGACTATTCTTGTGTAATGATTACATATTAGATAAATGTTGTAAATAAATATAAAAGGAGAAAACAGTTCTCCAGGCCAGCCAAGAGAGAGAGAGACACATACAATAATATCCAGAAAAATTCTATCTTCTATCACCGCTCATACAAGCTTTTATTGCTCTATCTTAAGTTTCTTACAAATCCATATCGATTATATAGTTGTTAATTCTCGTTTGACAACAACTTACGAGTCAGTTTTAACTTGGACGCAAATAAAATTGTCAGTTATTTATAGTTTAATAAATTACTCGACTACTTAAATTTTATATGTGGATAGTTTATACAAAATAATTTTATTTTAATTGATGAAATAATGTAAAATTAATATTATACTTATTATTCACATACATTTTTAAATATATGATAAAATTTTACTAAAATAATTATTTTATAGAACCACATTGTATTCAAAACAATTTTTTAAATAAAATTTTTAAAATAACACTTATTCTGAATAAATATAATGTAATTTATTATAAGTTATGTGAACCGTACGGGTTATGTATTAATTCTAAATAGACATGTTTTATATAATTTTGCATAATTTAAATTTCGTATAACATTTTAAATAAATTAATATAAGTAAATTGTATTACCTATTGATTCTATTTTTTAAATTTATAAATATTATTTAATGAGTATTTTTAATTTACAAATATTAATTAATATCTATTACATGTGCATTGCACGGGATTTGTACTAGTAATATAAAAGTAAATATATTGTTAACAAAAGATATGATTTGGTTTGGAAATTAACAAAGGTTGTGTAATAATCTAAAAATGAGCTAACAAAATTACTACATATACCCTAACACGTGTTTCTATTTTTAATATTTCATATTTATTATAAAATACAGTATAATAAAAAAATAATTATATCAGTAAAGTAGGCAGACATCACAATTAAATATTCTTCTATTTTATATAGGTATACTACACTTAAATTGACTTGTCATACTTCAAAATAAAAAACAAAATTAGAATATTTTATTGCCTACGTATATATTTTTATTAAATAAAAGTATGAAGGAGCAATCCGCCTAATGACTGTTTCATCTCATACAAGAATTTTTGTGAACTAAATTAACTTAATAAGTATTTAATTGATAAATTTTGACTTAATAAGTATTTAATGCATAAATAAGAACAAAATTGCATCGATAAATTTTTACACACAAAAAAAAAAGAATTTTAACTTAATAAGTATGTAATCGATTATATGAATTACATCGTACCGTATATATCATATGATATAAAAATACCACTTGAATAAACAAAATATCTAGTAACATATATTAGAGAAAATTTGACCAAGTCTTTTTTTGGTTCCACCAAACGACATCCAGAAGAGTGGAGGTTAAAGCCAAACCCCAACCTACATACGTGTATATATGTGTGTATATATTTTTTATTTGACTAAGTTTATAATATTATGGCTCAAATATATAACGCATTTGAGATGATTTTAAGGTTTTGTAATTATGTGATTACCACACATTAATTGGATAATATCACAAATTTATACAATCGCAAATGTTTTAGCATTAGATGTGAATTGAAGACCAATTATAGATCATTATATGTAATATGATATTTGTAATTTAAATCAATTGATTTTTATAGTGGAAAAAAAAATAATTTATCAAAAAAATAGTTTTAATGTTTTTAAATTATTTCTTAAGATTATTGAAATCTAAATATGATAGTGTACCAGATGGTTGTAATGGTTCATTAAAAATAAAATTGTATTTGAATTAAAAAGTAGATAAAATTTGATCAAAAATTGCAATAGTTAGATCAAGTGAAAAAAAATGAATACGAAAACTATGCCACTAGAAAAGGGATGATAATATGAATAATATTTAAAAATTTTGCTAACATATATTTATAACTATTTTATTTAGTCAATAAAAATAATGATAAAGAATTGCCTTCTTCAACAAGATTAGAAGATAAAATTTTAAACTATCTCAAGCAATTATTCTTGTAAATATATTGTGCATATTTTTTAAATTTTCCTCACACAAAAAAGATTTCGAATAAACAAGACTAACTTAGATATCAATTAAAATTTCATGGAATCTTTTTCGCAATGGTTTTTAAATATTATACTTTTTTTTTAAATTGTATTTCAACTTTCAATATATTTGACAAGTATGTAATGCATGTAATGTGCTTCATTTGTTTGATTAGTGAAAAATAATAATGCCAAAATTGAATAGAGATTAAAAAAATAAGAGATAAGGTATAATTAAAAATTATATTAAAAAATAAATTATATATCCTGTATCGTACGTGCAAGAACAAAAAAAAAATAATAATAAAAATAAATAAATAAATAAAAATAAAAGGAATATCCTCAAAAATCAACAGTCAGTTTATTCATTTAACTAATTATAGAGTTTAAGGATCCATCGTGCCACTTCACAAAAAATAAGTACAAAATCAAGCTATTTTTCCTCCTCATCCCACAACCCCCTGCAACATCGGAACTTGAAATCGGAATCCAAACCTCAAATTTTTGTTTTCCTTCTCTGTAAGAGCAAACGGAGAAAGAATAATAAAAATAATGCTAATAATAACAAATAATAATAATGATAATGAGCAACGTACCTATTTTGTCTCATAATTTGTTTGTCCCTCCATATCATACGTTTCCTTCTCTCATATTGTTTCATTCCTCCATAACCAGGAGAGGAGTTAGCAGTTTCAATAAACAAAAAAAATGGAAAACTCAGCACCGTGGTGGCTAATTTCCGGTCGCCGGCTGGTGTCGGTGTTCCTCCTGGTTCCTCTCCTTCTCTGTCTCATCTCAACCTCCTCCATGGGAGCAAGAGTCAACGCCCCAGCCAAATCCGACTCCTTCTCCCCACCCGACAATTACCTCTTCGACTGTGGCAGTACTGGGCCCACGACACTTCCCGGCGGCCGCATCTTCCTCGGCGATCAGGACACAGGCAAGTACCTTTCCTACAACGGTCGTGATGTCCAGGTCTCCGCGGCTAACCCCAAGGACCTCCCGTCCCCGATTTATGCGTCAGCAAACATCTTTGATAGCGCAGCCACTTACACCTTCCATGTCACCCGGCCTGGCTGGCACTGGATCCGGCTCCACTTCGCCCCGATACAGAACGATCAGCAGGATCTCAAGGCTGCCAGATTCAAGGTCAGCACAAGCAACAACCTTGTCCTAATCCAAGAGTTCCAGATGAGCCCTGAGAACGCAACCACCTCATTGAATGAGTACCTGGTCAATGTCACCACCGAGAGGTACTCCCTCACTTTCCAACCTACTCAAGGCAGCGTGGCTTACGTCAGTGCGATCGAGTTCGTGTCCGCGCCTGATATTTTGATAGGTGACATCGCCTCATCCGTTTTCCCCAAAGCCGATTATTCAGGCCTCCTCAGTATTGCATATCAGACAGTTTACCGGGTCAATGTTGGTGGGCCTTTGATTACGGCCCAAAACGATACCCTGGGGAGGACGTGGGTCTCGGACACACCGTACCTCGACCCCAAGGTTTCCGGCAGCCAAGTGTCGGTGGCACCCAACGTGATCACCTATCCAGACGGCGAGTCTCCGCTGATTGCGCCACCAGTGGTCTACGCAACTGCCATGCAAATGGCAGATGCCAATGTCGAGGTGAGCGGTATATGGAATGAAGATTTTTTTATTATTATTATTATTTTTTTTGCTAATTTGTTTGTTGTACATGTGCATGTATAAAATGATTTGGTTGGAAGGAAGTAAATGCATGGTGATTAGATTTGATTAAAATGAGTTAAAAAGTTATGGTTTGAGAGGAAGTAAATGCATGGTGATTAGATTTGATTAAAATGAGTTAAAAAGCAGTTTAATTACGGGTACAGGTCCCAAGTTTCAACATCACCTGGAAACTGAAGATAGACTCTTCCTTCCAGTACCTGGTCCGCCTTCACTTTGCGGACATCGTTAGCAAGTCCACAAACGACCTTTACTTCAATGTCTATATCAATGGCAAGTCGGCCATTACGGGACTCGACCTCTCCACGGTGGCAGAGGGACTTACCTCCGCCTACTTTGCTGACTTTGTCCTCAACTCCAGCATGGTCCCGGGTGGCCTTCTCGACCCCCTCATCATCCAGGTGGGCCCCATGCCCAATGAGAACGCGGGCACCAAGAACGCCCTCCTCAACGGCCTCGAGGTACTCAAGATGAACAACTCCGTGGGCAGCCTTGATGGCGAGTTCGGAGTGGACGGTCGTCGCGCCTCGGCCGCTAACGGGACAGTGGCTGCAGTGGGCTTCGCCATGATGTTCGGGGCCTTTGTTGGGTTAGGCGCCATGGCCGTGAAGTGGAAGAAACGACCCCAAGACTGGCACAAGAGCAAGAGTTTCTCTTCGTGGCTCCTCCCCATCCACGCGGGTGACACAAGCTTCATGAGCAAAACCTCCCTCGGCTCCCGCAAGTCTCAGGTGTTCTCGTCCACCATGGGCCTCGGCCGCTACTTCTCTCTCTCCGAGCTGGAAGATGCCACCGGAAACTGGGACCCAACCCATATCATCGGCGTCGGTGGCTTCGGCAACGTGTACATCGGCGAGATCGATGACTGCCAGAAGGTGGCCGTCAAGCGAGGGAATCCCCAATCAGAGCAAGGGATTAATGAGTTCCAGACCGAGATTCAAATACTGTCTAAGCTCAGGCATCGCCACCTGGTGTCCCTCATAGGCTACTGTGACGAGAACTCAGAGATGATCCTCGTGTACGAGTACATGGCCAATGGCCCATTCCGTGACCACCTGTATGGCAAGAACCTGCCCCACCTCACCTGGAAACAGAGACTGGAGATCTGCATCGGTTCTGCCCGGGGTCTACACTATCTGCACACGGGGGCCGCGCAGGGGATCATTCACCGCGACGTCAAGACCACTAACATCTTGCTAGACGAGAATTTTGTCGCCAAGATGGCCGATTTCGGGCTCTCAAAGGATGCCCCCACGACCGAGCAGACGCATGTTAGCACGGCCGTCAAGGGAAGCTTCGGTTACCTGGACCCCGAGTACTTCCGCAAGCAGCAACTCACGGATAAGTCGGATGTGTATTCGTTTGGGGTAGTGTTGCTGGAGGCCCTCTGTGCACGGCCCGCCATAAACCCGGCCCTGCCTAGGGAGCAGGTGAATCTGGCCGAGTGGGCCATGCAGTGGAAGAGGAAGGGGTTACTGGACAAGATAATTGACCTAACCTTGGTGGGACACATTAATCCTGACTCAATGAACAAGTTTGCCGAGGCGGCCGAGAAATGCCTGTCCGAATACGGGGTGGATAGACCCACTATGGGAGACGTGCTGTGGAATTTGGAGTATGCTCTGCAACTGCAGGAGGCGTCCCCCTCGCCCTCTCAGGGGAACTCAGATGAGGAGCAGAATAAGGTGCTTTCCAGCCCCATATCGCCTCTTGTTATGCCACATGCCGGCGGTGACAACAAGGTAGCTTCAGGTTCTGATCACGCCGGTAGTAGGGCTGCAGCCGAACTTCCTCTTATTGAGGAACATTCCGGTACTGCCATGTTTGCACAGTTTGCTGCTCTGAATGGGCGATAGAAAATTGAGATGTTTTGAATTTGAGATGAAAAAATTGATGGTTTATGAGCGGATAAAGCCGAAATTAATAACAATAATACTAATAATCAAACAAAGACAAGATTATTAAATGGGACGTGTGGCTTCATAAGATTACCCAATCATGTTTGAGCAGTTTGATTATCAACATATATTGATATATATTATTATCTTTATTTTGTATTGCATGTGAAATTTGGTGTAGTTTTGTTACCATAAGGATACTTCTACTGTTCTAATAAATATTTAGTTAATATTAATTGAATTAATTAATTAAAGACTTTTTGGATTAGGGCTATAAGTACTTTCCTATGTATAATACACATTCTCTTTGTCGACTTATACTTGAAATGAATGAATCACGGGAGAGATAGATCATTATTAAAAAAAAAAATCTTTGGAGTGATATAAAAATTTGATGCTAAATAAAATTATGAATGTTATGTGTTGACGAGCAAACACCAACTAATCTTAATGAAGGGATTAATTAAGTGGAACTAAGAGTTGTTTTGTGGAGAACATACATGATTTGTAATGTGGATAAAAAAGATAGAAAGCACACACGATTTCGCTGATTGGTTGGGAGGTCCGCGAGGAGAATGTTTCTCCAAAAATAAGACTAGCAAAGACTATTTCATTGCAAAGGTGGTTATTGGTTGAGCTTTTGCACGTTTTAGTTTTGTTTGTATTGCTAGTGTTCATTATGTTTGTTCGTGTTGGTATATAAGGTGCTAGATGTTGAAAAGTAGCCCACCAACCCACCAATTTTGAAGCCCCATTTCTTTGACAAATTGCAGCCGCGGGGGGTGTTGTTTTTTGTTGAAAATTCAGTACACTTTTGCAGAAAAATTGGTACTCTCCCCATCTATAAATAGATGGAATTGTGATGAACAAATCACACAACAAATACAAACACCAACACAAGAGAGAAAAAGAGAGAAAAAGAGTGAACAAGAAGCAGAAAGTTTTAGCTTCTGTGTGTATTTGTGTTGTGAGTTGTGAGTGAGTTTGAGAGTATTTTGTAAACACGAGTGTATTTCTTTTTCCCAATAAAATATCTGCAGTAGTCCAGAGACGTAGGCATTATTGGCCGAACTCCATTATCAATTTGGTGTGTCCAATTTTTTTTTTCAGCGTATTTTTTCCAACAACTGGTATCAGAGCCAGATTGTTAATTCTGTAATTTTTTATGAGGGTTACTATTCCGTATATAGTAAAAAACGTGAATAGTGTCAAATTTTTCGGCGCTACAAATTTATCTACCAACGTGTTCTGAAACACGGTAGTTCACAAAATTTACAGAAACGATCCGACAGAGAAGTCAGATCAGAGTCGAAGTGATGGCTGCAGACGAAGGAAAAATGAAAATTGAAAAGTTCGATGGTGCGGACTTTGGCTTCTGGAAGATGCAGATCGAGAATTATCTGTACCAAAAGAATATGTATTAACCACTCACAGGAAAGAAGCTAGAGGACATGTAGGAGGAAGAATGGAGTCTCCTTGACAGACAAGCCCTTGGAGCCATTCGGCTGACGTTATCCCGTAATGTTGCTTTTAACATTGCAAAAGAAAAGACGACAGCAGGCCTCATGAAGGCTCTTTCCAACATGTACGAGAAACCATCAGCCTCAAATAAAGTTCATTTGATGAGGCGATTGTTCAACCTTCGGATGACCGAAGGTGCTCCGGTGGAAAATCATCTCAATGAACTCAACACAATTATAACCCAGTTGAGTTCAGTTGAGATCGAGTTCGATGATGAAGTACGGGCTTTAATACTTTTGTCTTCCCTACCAGAAAGCTGGAATGCTACAGTCACAGCTTTGAGTAGCTCATCGGGATGCAATAAGTTGAGATTTGATGATGTCCAAAATTTGGCTCTCAGTGAAGAGATCCGGCGGAGGGAGTCGGGTGAACCATCAACCTCTTTTGTATTGCATACAAAGTCGAGAAGAAGAAGTTCAACCAAAGAAAGCAGACATATCAAATCAAAGGGAAGAAGATCCATGTAACACCCCACTTTGATATTAAGGAAATTTCGGACTTTAAAAAAAATCAGAACAAATTTTTCAAATTCATTTTCAAAATAAGGGCATTAACCAATACAATTTACTTAGTCCAAGTCTTATCTGGACTCACGGGGATTCATAAACCCAATTTTTCACAAGGTTTTCATTAACCTGATTCACACCTCAACGTAATATCCCATATGAACAACTGAAACTTCATAAATCAAACACCATGATTATTCAAGGTTCAAAAGGGTTTTCCAAAATATTTTCAAACATCAAAACATAGTTCGAAAACAATTTTTACATGTCCAAAACATAGAAGGTTCATAACAACCATATTATTAAAGCAGAAGCAAAATAAAACAAATAATAAACCACCACTCGTCCTTCGTCTCGTCACCCGACCACTGATTAACCTGCATCCGTGAAGAGCAGGTGGGAATGAGCACAAATGATAAAATAGTGCTCACTACTATGCACATAATAACATGTAAAGATGGTATGGTCACAACATGAATATAAATCAATCATCATCATGTCTCATCTCCTAACAATCACAACAATAACTCACTCATGTGCACATCTATCATTAGCCGCGGAAAGAGGATACATAAACCCTAACGACGGGAGTGCGTGCCACTGTAACGGACACGGCCTTTTCATTAGGTCTTAAGGAGACTTGCCTCACAAGGACAACCGTACCGTAACTCGACGGGGACAACCGTACCGACGGCCGTAACAGCTCACATCAGTAGGCTACATGGTTCACATGCATACATTGATCATACCAACAATACATTAAACAACACGTATGGCATAGACAATTTTATAAGTAAACCCACCTGGATAGCTCGGTAGAAAATTGCACACAAGAGCAAGTACGTAGGATGAGGCTCGACTCCTCAAACACCTACATTTAAGCGAGATAATTTATCAATAATTTATCTCACTACTCAAATTTAACATAAAACTCATACTTAATAAAAATTAAGTCTTAAGGGTTTTAATCGGATTTTTCGTGAACTTGGAACTCTCTCATTTTTGAAAAATAGGACTCGGAGAATTAATTTGGAGTCTCGGGACTTATAAATATTTTTCTCAAATTTTCTCGGTCGAAAATAATTTTTAAAATCAAACTCGGTATTAAAAACGGGCTTCCAGAACTCAAAATAGGCTAAAAAAGACAATTGGGCCGAGCTGTGGTGGTTCTAGGCTAATTGGGCCGCACGAAGAGGAAGTTGGGCCAGAAATTTGGGCCTGAAAAGGGTTGGGGCCTCACAGGCTACGCATACTGGGGGCAGATCGGGCTGAGGGAGGCGGGCCGCGCGCGGGCTGACCTCGGGCCCTATGGCCCGCGCTCTCCAGCTGGCACTCAGTAAAAAAAAAAAGACATATTACTTACGCGAGGAACTGGGATCGAACCCCCGACCTCGCGCACTGAATACCGCCTCGATGACCACTGCGCTACACGCACAATTGCAATTTAAATTGCAAACATGACCAAATGAAATTTGAAAAAAAAAACCTGTGATTAAATTTGAGAACAGAGTACAGACATCTGTAACAGAAACTGCAAAATGACAGCATAACGACCAAATTTGACAACAATGCTCGAGCAAGTATTAGGTCCGGTTTTTAATTAAACAATTAAATCTCAGAGTTTCGAACATTTCAAAAACGGGTTTTATTTTATCGAAAACGAAGAGTTGAAACCCAGATTGAAAGCAAGTGAACAAAACGCCCCCAAAATAAATTACAACGAGACTCCTAAATGACGGAATTCCGAATTAACACGATATAGCCACAGCAACGTCGTGAATCGATTTCTTACAAATCGAGAGTTGCTATTATCCCTGAAATTTCACGAACATGCGAAATATAAATAACGAACATACGAAACAATAATCAACGAAAACGATTCCACGGGCTCAATTGAACAAACGACGATATACGGCACAAAATTAAAACAAGGGAATATTTCCGAATACCTCTCTTCAGGAACTGCGAGCTCGGGACATAAGCGGACCAAACGATCAGCACTCGGACGAGCGGGTAGCAGCCTCGAAACTCCTCGAAAGTTCGGACTTAATTCGATGAACTGCTCGTGAACGGAGCGCTGAGGGGTCTTGGATGGCGGGCTGCGCGGAGGTGGTCTCACCGGAGAAGAAGATGGTCGCCGGGATTAATGGCTGCTTCACCGGAATTATAGCTAGCGATATTTTTTTTTTTTTTTTTGAAAACGAAAAGCAGGCTGAGAGAACGGGAATTGGATGAACTAACTTGAATGATGCTAACCGATCCTCTACCGAGATATAAGAATGATCGGGGTTAACGATCGTGCGAGGAAATCTTGCGAGGAAAAATCGCAACTGCGAAGGGAGTGATGGACCAGGTCAGATTCACGCGCAGAAAAATAAGGAGAAGAAGAGAAACATGCCGTGATTAATTCTTTGGGCCAAGATTGATTAATTTTTGGGCCGAATTAAAAGATGAAATTGGGCCATCATAATTTAATCAAATAGGGTTAGAAAAATCAATCATTTTGGGCTACAATTAAATAACTTATGTAGCTAGAAAAAAAAATATACACAATAATATTTATTTATAAATAAACAATTAGGCAAATTGTCATTTAATATGAATACCAATAATATTTATAATAATAATAATAATAATAATAATAATAATAATAATAATAATAATAATAATAATAATAATAATAATAATAGGCGTTTAAAACGATTAGACATTTAATCACAAATACATATTTACTAATAATAATAAAAAAATGGCAATAATAAACTAATAAATAATTTCAAATAATTCTAATTCAAACGGAGTGTTACAGTCTACCCACCTTACAAAGAATTCCGTCCTCGGAATTCGAAAATAAAACTAGAAAGCGATAAAATACAAAGGAGAACTCAGAACTCAAAGTTCGGATAACGCCTCCTAATATCGTCCTCCCTC